GGAATAGCCACGAAAGCAACCAGGACAAGTACCAAGCATCGGCTCCTGGAGACAGACACAAAGGGGCGAAAACTGAGAAATCGGCTATCAGTCTCCGCGGTGCAGTGGTAAGACACTCGCCTGGCGTTCCGTGAGCGCTATGTCATGGGTTCGTATCCTGGCCGGGGTGGATTTACTGGGCGCAATTCCTTAACTGTAGCCTCTGTTTAACGCAACAGTAAAATGTGTACTTGGATGAAAAAACGATTATTCGCGGCGGGGATTGTATTCCAGGGACCTGCCCGAAACGCTACGCGTACTAGTGGCTGTACAAGAATGTAACAACTCTTGTATCTCTCTCTCTCTCTCTCTCTCTCTCTCTAAAAAAAAAAAAAAAAAAAATGGCGTAATATCCACGAATATTCCATTGAAGAATAGACATTGACAAGAAGAGAAAGGACAGCAACAGAGGACAATGAAGAAACAAAGGGGAAAAAGGAACACAGCATGTTAAAGAAGCGCCGGATCAGGATCAGCGAAGTCAGGGTTAGGGGGGTATGGGTAAACTGAGTAAGGATGGAGGGAAGGTAGCGGGAGGACCGACCGGAGGACTACAAGCAGGGTTCGGAGGAGAAGGGGGGGGGGCGGCAACCTAGGGTCAGCAGCAGGAGGGGCAGAAACCAGAGAGTGCACCTCAGCAAGGGCAGCAACCGAGAGGGAAGCGGGGGCCAAAGAAACCTCCATAGCAGGAACAGGGGGAGCAACCACCAAAACGGGAAGGGATGGAGCGAGAGTGGCAGAGGTAGGGGGGCGAGGAAGAAAGCGATGTCTTCTTACCCGCCAGTGAGGAGGAAGGAGAGGAGCCAGGCTTTCGCTTCTGACTCAGACAGGCGTCCCAGCAATAATGCACTGGGCAACAGATTCAAGTGTCTCAACAGGAGAAGCAGAACGAGAGCAAACAACACGATGACTGCTGGGAGAGTGATGGACATCAGCCCGCACTGACAGGCGGCATGGAGAGCTAAGAGATGGAGGAGAAGGATGGGAAGGAGGATTGGAGAGAAACGAGGAAGATGTGGGAACCGACCTGTGAGATTTATATTTATTTAATTTATATGAATTTATATTTACGTTAATTTATATACTTCGATAGCAATTTGTATAATGATAAGTGGACTGTATTTCTGCAATAATCTCTTAATCTCACAAATCGATCCTCTACACATTAGGGGGGGGGGGTTTATATTAATTTATATATATATATATATGCAGCCAATCAAACTACAGTATTAACTACATACATTGAAAAGGTTCCTTATCTTATAGTACAGCAGGCCTTAGTCCAAACAGGTATAACTAGGATGTAGACACCAAATTATCCTCTTTGAGGTAGCTTCCATCACCCAGTAACTGGTGCACAAAGTCTTGCTTCCTCGTCTTGACCTGTCAAAAGGGCGCTAGCTATAAAGCCAGAATCCTATATATGACAGGTATATCAGAGAAAACACTGTACATGGAACAATGAAGACCTGGCTTAATTACCTTTAGTATGAGGCGATTTCGTGATCTAACTGGATCACCCTACCCAATGACATTAATGGCCACTAATGATAGATAAACGGGTTTCGGAAAGACACTTAACTTGAATTTGTTGACAGCGTGTGATAATGGTGCACCTTTGGTTTCCATAACACTTCGTCCAAGTAAAATTAACAGGAGCCGAATTTGCTCCCGTGAGCCTCAGGTCTAGTATAAACAATGGCTGCCCTCCCTCACCCTGACGCCTAGCTTACATTGTCCAGATGTCAATAAGTGATAGAAGGGTCACATTTACTCTACTTTAATATTGATAATTAAGTTAATTTATATGAAATGTTTTTATGATGGTAAAGTCCAAAGACTAATGTATTTAAGAATAATTCCCACCATAATAGGTGGTGAATATAATAGTATGTGGTGATGATATCCCGTTTTCTTTAGACGGTAACTCCACTACAAGTTACGTTTTCTATAGGATAACTTGTTTATACAATACAGCTACAATTATCTGTATGTATGATATATTAAATGGTGTCGGATTTTCCGACAGAAGAAGACACAGGAGACAAGACAGTATGTGGAAAGAATTGAAATAAGTTTATTGAGGTAAAATACACACAAAGGGATGAGGTAGCTCAAGCTATTCTCACTCTGTTCAGTACAACGTGTTAATAATGTGGAAAGAAGGGGAACCCTAGACAGAGAACCATGAGGGGGGACCCTTCAGGACAGAACAAAGGAACAGAGGCGGCGGCGGTGGGTGTGTCTGGGTCTAAGGCCTGGAGATGGTTGTGAGACTGAGGAAGGTGGGAAGGACGAGGAGGAGAAGAGCGCAACACACGAGCATAAAAGCACCAGTGTATGGGGGAGACGGAAAACTTGGCGCCTCGCCTCGGGAAAAGACAAACGTTCCCGGTGCTTCAAGGTGAGGACGGCTGCCTCAAGTTTGTAATGTACACACGTGCGGGAGAAGGCAGGGTGGGCCTTAACGCAATTGAGGAAGCGAGCCTGGGGGAGAAGTGCACTCCGACTTAGAGTGACATTTGTCCCCACACAAGGGGCAGAGAGAGAGAGAGAGAGAATACTGGAGCACTGGAGGGCACCATGCCAAACCTCCAGCACTTATTACAGAGCCGAGGAGAGGGAATGTACTCCTGGAAGGAGCACCTGGTACTAGCAAGAATGACAAAGGGCAGAAGGATCCTACCATCAAAGATAATCTTCACAACCTGAAGGGGCTGACGGGGATGACCACGAGGGGGACGAGTAAATGTTTCTACCTGGAGGACAGAATGGCCCTGGGCTTTGAGGATATGCTGAATATCTTCGTGGCAGTCCTGTAGATTCCTAACACCGGTTACAACATGGGGTGGGAGGAGAATAGTGCCAACACTGGCATTCAACCGAGCGTTCTTGGAGGCCCGAATAGGGGTCACGCCAAGGCAGGATAAGGCGGCCAAGCGGGTGGCTGCATCCTGAGAAGGAGCAGGAACGACACATGAACCATGAACCGAGACGGGTGGGGTTGAAAGTAACAGAGGCATCTACTGAATCAACATGAGGAAATGTGTTTGACAACATATTTTTCCCTTCCTGTGGATGGAGAAATCATCAAGTGTAGAAGCCAGAGGGAGGAGATCAAAGTATTTGGCCCACGAAGCGGGACCAAACAAGACCTGGTACGCATCATTACAGGAAGGGATCAAGCGAGTGCGGCCGTGGTGTGGACGGGACTGAGAACCCCCCAGAGAGGTGTTAAAAGGCGCAGTAGTCACAATGAGAGACCGAGCCGTGCCAGGGGTTGAGGTGGTTACCACCGGGGGCTGGGGGCTTGACCCAACCACAAAGGGAGGGGAGCCGAGGCAAGTAATAAGGAGGGTCAAAGGAGGAGCAAGGTCGGGGCACAATGCAGCAGGGGCTACAGAGACCGGTCTTCCAACACGGTCCGACTCAGGGGTTTGGTTGCCCACCCCACGAGCCTGAGAAGGTACAAGACGAACAGAATTAGACATACAAGAAGGCAGACTTTCATTCACGAATATGCCCCCACACCCACCATGGAGCCACAACTAGAGGTAGGACACCCAACAAGAGACATGTTGCCGATCTTGCCGGGGCCCCCCTAGGAGTTGGTCGTTCGTATGTGCCCCACAAATGCCACCTTAAGAACCGCAAGTCCGTCGAGAGCGGGTTCAGTGACGAAAGGAGGATTGACAATAAAAGGGTCCCCTCGCTCGAAACGTTGGGTACTACAGTTCTACGGGTGCAAGAGTAGTAAGGGAGGGGACTTGCAGCACCGCAGCATTACCAGTTCATTAAATTCAATTATTATTTATCGATAAGAATTTATCTAGCCCTTTTTTTCTTTAATTTCATAGACTATTAGACTCATTACAATTGTACTTAATAAACATTTTGGAATAATTTAATAATGGTATAAACGTTTTTGAATGTTAGGCTTTTGTTTTGAAAGAGATGGTATAACCGAGGCTACCATTACCTAGCCAACACTCGACTTAAAGAAATTCGGTTGACTTCCAGAGGAGAGCCAACACTGCACACATTTATTTGGATTCATTATCCCCCAAATTGAAAATGCAGTCACAGTGTGCAGAGATTATTCTTAGTCACGTCTTGTTTTCTGATAAAAATGTATGGAATATTTGTGGATATAGATTTGTCACACACACACACACACACAGTTGACAGTTGTTACAGTACATTATCTTCAGAGCAAGCCAGAACTTTACAGCAAAGTTCCTGATCATTTTGCTCATAAACCAAGAATAATTCCATTAGACTAAATTAGCAAGTTAAAATAATGTTTGGTGTTACTACTTGCTATTTTATATTTTGAATTAATGTTTATATTAATATTCATACTTCAGCTTCATGAAATATCTTAATATATTCATTGGCTTACCCAAAGCATATTTTTCACAACACTCCACTGTTGTTCACAGCCTGTGAGATCAAACATGGAACATTCAGCAGTTGTATGGTGTCCATACTTCAAGACATGCATCAATAAACTGGAAAAGATGCAAAGACATTTTACAAAATGTTAGCCAGAATGAAATAACAAAAGGTATGATGAGAGGCTAGAGTTGTTAAACATGCCAAAGATAAAAGAGAAGAAAAAGAAAATATGATAGCTACATACAAAATAGAAACAGGAGCCAATAAAATTGATACATTTTTGAAACCTGCAGCTTTAAGAACAAGAGATTATAGATTCAAGCTATGGAAACAAAAGTGCTGACAAAATATTAGAAAGTCTTTTTGCAAAACATGGTCGACGGTTAGAACAAGTGAGGAGGCAGTTGATGCCGAAACCATCAGTAGTTTTAAAGTGTCACATGACAGTACTGGAAAGATTGGACACAACTAGTATAGTTCTCATCCAGTACCTATACTTGGGTAATTAAACAATCAAGTGTAATTACTCTATTAATGTTTTGCCTTTGAATGAAACAAAAATGTTAAATGTATTAATTTATTGTTCAGTGATAGTACATATTATTCCAGGGTAAGCTAAACAATACATTAAACCCTTCAGATAAATAAAATAGTCCTCTTATAAAAAAAAAAAAAATCCTTTCTACCTAAATTGGGAACTTGACTAAATTGCTGGAACACGACATCAACCAAGTTGTGGCAATCTTTCAAAAGCCTATAAATTTTTGTTATTTTCAAGGGTGACACTATGATGCCTCCAGGTCACATTTCCAGTAAACTAACCAACTGCAGAAGCAACAACTTCGGACACTTCGGGATCGTCCGATCGAACTGTGAGCTGCATTGTGACACCATCTGCCAGAGCCAGTTTAGCTCTCACTAGCACCTCATGTCCACCTCTGTAAGTTCCTGTAACAAAAAAAAATAAAATAAAAGCCATTGTAAAAATTAAACTTTTAAACACATTTTTCTGACTTACGTAATTACCAAAAAAATGAACCAAGCCTGCAAGACTTGGCACCATCTGTTACAATATGAAAAAACCTGTAGATCATTTAGGATACCAATACAAGAGCATAAATACAAGACAAGCAATGTCATAAGGTATCAGAGTGGCAGCAATTTTATCTAGATATTGAATGGGTATACATATTCTACATGGTGTGTGTGTGTGTGTGTGACCGTTTGCAGAAAACTGCCGTTCAGACAGTAACCCCCCTGCAGTTCACACCAGTTTCATGTGACAACTTCATTGTGCATGTTAATTAATTCTTAACTAACTGAAAATAAAAAAAAAAAAATTGAAAAATTTCAGAATGTTGTCAATTTCCATTTAAAATCAAAATTAAAAAATTAAAAAATCCTAAATTTAAACTTTTTTGCACCATCTATTGAGTACCTTAACCCTTGGGCAGTGCTGCTAATAACAGCCGACAACACCGCTGTGCGCAAGAAAAAAAAAATTTAATTTTTACTTTTTCTTCTATGATTGTTAAAATATGTTATGATCGTGGGAAAAAAATCTTTTATGACATTTTGGCCACAGTTAGGCGAAGGCGGCGAATAAATCTAAATAGATTCAGGCGCTGACGGTACACGTCCAGGGCCAGTCTCCTCCACCCAAGCCGTCAGGCAGGAGTTGCCACAAAGATATTACTGTATTACCTAAGTAAATTGTCATCCACACTTCCGTGGAAATAACCATTCCATAAACTATCGGTCAATAGAGCTTCGACCTCACACGCGTGAGGTCCACGGCTTGAGTCTCCTAGAGCCCAGCTGAATGGAATATTACCCAATTATTTCAATGTCTCTGATTGTTTTTTTTTTGTAGTATTATTCAATAGTGTATAGTGTGATATATTTATATAATAAAATGTGTGAACCATCGCTATACTCAAAAGTATGGTGTGTGTATATTAGCGATTCAATTATTGTTCATAAACAATAAGAAAATATATTTGCTGTTATTACACTATATACATGCATTATGTATAAGTATCTACATGTTTTTTCACCATAACAAACCACCAAGCTTGTATGGTGCATCGAAACGGCATAGTGGCCATCAACACACCAGCCAGCAGATGACGCTACCTCACTCACCAACATTCCTCCTCCCACCATACTGTTTGTGCTGTTATTACACTACAGTATATTTACATGTTACATACAAATACTTACATTTGTGCTCACCATAACGAACCACTAAGATGGTATGGCGAGTCCAAACAATAACAGTAGTCGCCACACAGTCGGCAGATGACACACCCTCCCTTCACAAACTCCTTGCTTGCCAACATTCCTTCTTTCAACATACTGTTTGTGCTGTTATTACACTATATACACACATTATATATATGTACAGTATCTACATGTTATGTTCACTATAATTATACAACTAAGCTGGTATGGTGTCCAAACAGCACAGTGGCCACCATACACTGCATGACACGTCACACACCACCTAGCAGACGACAGCACCTCACTCGCCAAAATGGCTCCTCAACACTTTTTTCGCTGTTATTACACTATATACACATGTTATATACAAGTGTTTACAGTTGTGTTCACCATAACGAACCACTAAGCTAGGCGAGTCCAGACAATAACAGTGGACACCTCACACAATCGGCTGACTTGCCACCTCCTTCACTCCTCGCCAAGATTCCTCATCCCACTAATACTATGCACATCGCTAATTCCAGCCCATTTTCCTGTTTTGGTAGTACTTATAGTAACGATGAGGACCATAGTATAAATATACCTACGTACAACAAAATTAGACTGTAGAAATCTGAACTGAACTGAACTGGAAAACTATTTTTTACTTGTGTTGTTTTGACAAACTAAACTGACCTATCTGAACCTCCTGAAGCCTAATACACTATCTGAGGCCTAATATAGTACACATGTGTGCTATACTAGGCCTAGAAATATTTAAGTGTTTTAGTTTTTTTATTTTAAAAGAATTCCTTGCTAGTCAGTATACTACTATCTAAAAGCTAAGAACTTACGAATTTTGACTATTGACGATTATCACGATAGGTACTATCTAAACAGGAGGATGGGTTGGCTAATTCTCATCTGTCATCAATGTCGCTTTGAGGTAGACCAACACACGAACCCCTAACAAATGCAACTGGGCCACCATGACCACTGCTACACTGGTAACCATACTGGGGAAGGGGAAGCCAGGTTCAAACCAAAGGGAAGAATACCAAAGCAGTGATATGATACCCCCCATGACAACTCCAAACCAGTTCCTGAATCCCCAGATGATTATGGAGATGCCAATATGCATCTTTGAGGTCAAGGAACACCATCCAAGCTCCTGCCTGTAATAGGAGGCAAACTTGGGCCCATATGGTCATATAAAGGGTCGGGAAAGGAATGAAGCCATTCAGACCCAAAAGATCTGAGGTCTTTTGGAGGTCTGCTGAATCCCGCTTCAGGACTGGGAACAGCCATGCCCGAGGACAACCAATTGTAATGACCAGGTGCAGTGCCAAGAGGACTCCTGACCCAATATACCCAACCCTAAATATAGGAAAGGGACCAATCATCTTTACCAAAGACCATAGAAAACTACCCAAAATACCCACAAATTGTAGCTCAGGAGCTGGCAAAATGGGCCAAACATCCCCAAAGGCATTGAAGGGATGAACCATGAAAGGTTCAGCATGAAACCCCTGGCAGAGTCAGACCTCTGTGATGTGATTGCCATGTTAAGCAGAGATGACAGCTGCCTCAGATAGTGCAACAGCCCAGGAAGTTGACCCACCCAAGGACCTACCTCAACTCAACAGGCAAGGTGCCCCACCCAAACATTCTGCCTCCGAAAGAGGACAAAACCCCTAGAAAACAACACCTGGTCAATAAGACAGCAAGAACAAGCCACCACCAAACCAACCTGTGCTACAACACCCTCAGGAAAGAGAAGAGGTGAAAAGTGGGAAAGCAGCCATAAAGATAAGAGACCAAGCTGAATCTAAACAATGGGCTAGCCTGGCCTGCCAACACATGAGGTAGGCTGAATAAAACGGTGCTACTGTCTCCCGAAGGAGAGGGGCAAGCATTTTAGGCAAGGCCACCTAGGCCAAAACCACAGACTGTAATGGCCTCCACTCCTAGAGCAGACCCCATCAATGCCACATCCCCAAGGAGACACTAAGCAAGCCCTTCAGTGAGGACCCAGAAACAAGACCACCACAGCCAGTTCCAAACAAGCCCTATGGTCATCCTCAAAGGATTCCCAGAAAGCAAAGGGAGTTGTACACGTACAGAAGGTACATGGAGCTGCCACTTGCCTACATCTATGGTAAATGTCAGAGCAAACTGGCATTAGTGAAGCGGCACAAACTGTGCGCCACTCAAAAACACCAGAAAGACGGAGCTGCCCTCCTGTCAGTCAAGCAAGCGGGAAAGACAGAACCCCTGCCAAGACCCCAAGGAAAGAAGTGGGCTGCCAGGAAGAGCCCAAGACCTCAAACTGTAACTACCAAGTGGAAACGTAGTCGAACTCAGGAGGCTATGTCCATCATAGAAAAGGTCAGAGCTTCACAGGAGGTACCAAAGCAAATCTGTGCAGACCACAGATGGTGCAGCATGGGAGAACAGAAATCTCTTGAAATGCGATGAATCTGTGTCACCTAAAGAGACCTAGAAACAAATCCGAGGGGAGAGAAGCCAAGCAATCCAATTTATACAGGAAAATGGGACAAGGAAAATGATCCCCCTGCAAAATAAGATCCTCTGCAAAGGGAACCAAGAAGGGCTGAAAGGCACCCAAGGGAGTTCCTTGAGCCCCCTCAACCCTGGAAGCCTGCCACCAAAGCCCCAGAGCAGAGTCCAAGTTGTCGCCCAACACCTGAGAAAGGAAGGTGTCCTCCGAGGAAAAAGGCTCGGGGCAAAGTGGTGGTTGTGAAGGAGCATAAAAAAATACCCGATGGGATTATAAGGCTCAACTACTACTGCTGCCGATCCCTTGAGAAGGCAGAACTACACCCCATGGTAAACCCCGACAAAACTCTGAAATCCTTAGACACTTCGGAGCCAGAAACAGGACAGAGGACCAGAAGCAGAGCGAACAACACCTACAGGGAAGGGGTAGTGTTATCTTGAGGTTATCTCGAGATGATTTCGGGGCTTAGCGCCCCCGCGGCCCAGTCCTCGACAAGGCCTTTTTGTTGTACACCCCCAGGAAGCAGCCCGTAGCAGCTGTCTAACTCCCAGGTACCTATTTACTACTAGGTACCTGCCATTTTACTAAATGAACAGGTGCATCATGGTGAAAACCTTTTTTTGCCCATTTGTCTCCGCTTCCACTGGGTATCGAACCCGGAACCTAAGGACTACTAATTTGAAGCGCTGTCCACTCAGGTGTCAGGCGCCCAAAGAAAGGAAGAGATGGTGTAGATAAGTCCAAGTGGAGATCACCACCTACAATTCCAGGTCCCAAAACACCACAAAGGGGGTAAACTCCTGGGTTTCCAGAAGATCAATAGCTACTGACTACCTGCTGATTCCAAGGATCAACGTACCTGCAGATCAGGCCTCCTGGTTGGTGGTCTGATCAACCAGGCTGTTCAATGCAGCTGCAACATACAAGTCGCAGTTTGATTGACCAGGTATTCTTTGAAGGTGCTTATCTCTTTTGAACATGGAAAGGTTAGCCAGTTGTGCCCTGTATGTGTAAGGGCGTGTTGAAAAGTCTTGGGCCTTTGATTTTGATCGGGTACCATCTCAGCATGCCTATTGCACCTGTGCTTTTCTGTGGGGCTGTTTTGCACATCCTGCCATACCTTCTGGTTTCAAGGGGTCTTATTTCTGTGTGCAGATTTGGAATCAGTCCTAATATTTTCCAAGTGTAGGTTATTATGTATATCTCCTTCCTGCACTCTAGGGAATACAGATTTAAAGTTATTAGGTTATCCCAATAATTTACATGTTTCATTAAGTGGATTCTAGCAGTAAAGGATCTTTGCATGCTCTCTCCAGGTCAGCAATTTCTCCAGCTTTGAATAGGGTTGTTAGTGTATAACAATATTCCAATCTAAAGAGCACTAATGTCATGAAGTATCATCACTGACATGACATCTCTTGTTTGGAAGGTTCTTGTTATCCAACCTGTCATTTCTCTTGCAGTTGTGACAGCAACTTTGTGTTTTGTGATAGTTTTTTTGTTTTTGTTTTTTGCAATTCTTGATGTATATAGATTCCAGTAGTCTGGGCGTGGTGCAGAGTGTATGGGCATGCTGTCTATGGTTGCTTCAAAGTCAAATGAGGTTAGGGCAACATCCGACTTATAGCTCGGTGGAGGTATCACATTCATAAAGACAAAATTTGGATCATTGATTTGCAACGTGTTCAGGGGTTCACTGAAAACAGAATTGTACTGTGACATCAGTATTTCACTCATTTCTTTGCTGACATCTGTGAAAGGTCCATCACTCTTGCACAAGGGTCTAATGCCAGATGTTTTTGTTCTTGATTTTGCTAGCCCGGAAAAACTAAGACGAAAGACAACCACATACATAAAAATTTAAATGAACATTTAAATAAAATGATTTAAGTACATTTCCTCCTGCTTTGCCACTGGCATATACTTATTATGAACAATGCTCACCATTTCCATATTTACCTATTTGAATACAAAAAGGGTTTAGAGGTTAACTGCACATCATATTCAAAATACTGTATAACAAAGTACCTAATAATAATTCACTACTAGTAATCATCTCACCTGCAAGATATAATGTATGGGCACTCTTTCCTTCGGGAATGCGGTCCGATCGGTCACAAGGATGCATGCCTAGGAATTGTGTGATTTGTGTTATTGCTTCCTCTAAAGTGCTCATGGCTGACAGAGCAAAAGTATCTTCCAACTCGTTTGATGCTCCCAATTCTTCCCAGCCAGCGGCGAAGTTGCTACGTGCAGCTCGCTGAACGTGGTCTGCTACGGTTATCTCTACATCCTCCAGCTGCAGTACACGTCAAATTAAAAAATAATTAAAACTATTTAAAAAATTATGACAATGAACAAATCTTTGTCATCTAATGTGGCACCTTGGCATTTTACCTCCTGTATGCTTTGTGTGTTTCAATTGTACATCGAAACGTTGATTACAGGAACTGTACTTGCAATGTTTAATGTTGAGCCAAGGTATATGAAGCCTCAAAAGAACAAATATATATCTTATTATTTTAAATAAGATCTTTGTTTTAAGACATGGTCTCCATATTGCTTAAGCAAGCAGGTATGAGGTGAACCCGTGATAGTAAAATCTTGTAATTTTAGTAATTATGTAATAATTTGCCAGTAACATTTTATTTAATATACTTAAAATTTCAATCCTATTGGGCAACTAGACTTAAAAAAAAAAAAAGTCATCAGCAAAGGATTACATTCAAAACATGTCTAGAATATCCTAAAGGAACATCTGTATAACATGAAACGACACATTTTATTCATGATTAAAATCCAATGAATTCAATTAAACAAAGGTTTTAATGGTCAAGAAGTTGGAACATACCGTGTAATCATCCTCGTAACCTTCATCAGTATCTGGTTCACCCGTACAAGGATCACAGTCCCGGACTTTAAACTTTAACGTTGCCGAAAAGGTACCTGTACAACATTTTTCAGTTATTTAATGCTTCTTCACATTATCAATCTTTCAAAAACATACCATAAAACTACAGGAAAAGGCAGACTTATCAGCTTATGCGAGGTCAATTTCTACATGCATTAAATTATCCAACTAATGCTTTAAACTTCACCATGAATATGCTTCTATGTTAATCGGCAACTTGTTTCCACAGATCTCTATTTATGAACCAGCCTTTTGTTCTGTTATGTATCTGTTCTGTTCTAAATTAAATTTAAATAATTTCAGGTTCTAACAAGGTTGGATACTTGTAAGCCCTCATTTATATTCCCCTTGTAAATCATTTTCATGCTAATCATAAAACCTCATGATTTATGTACCATAGAAAGGTGCAGAGCAAGATTACTTAGTCTTTTCATAATGAATATTTATAATGCCTGGTACTGTATACTAATTCATCATTTTACCATGCATGCTTTTGAGAATTCACATTAATTGTTTAGCACTGTGCCCATTATCATACTTCATAATCTAAGTTGATGGCTAACATTGTAACATGAATTACTAATGCTCTTTGACAACCAACAAATCCTGATATGCTACTGACCTTATTTCAAGCATTTCTTCAATGCCTTTATAGTTTAAAATCAATACGGATTACTCCCAAATCCTTCTCGATTTTATTTTTAATTTTCACACCTACATAAACTAATACATGGTTTTAGTTCACAAATAAACTGTGGTTCTACTAACACACAATGAGCTCTAAACACCCCTCTTATGTTCTACTAAGCGCCCACAATATGGAAGGATTCCCGAGACAACTTGACTATGACGGTGTTGACTAGGCCACACACTATTAGGTGAAGGGATGACAACGTTTCGGTCCGTCCTGGACCATTCTCAAGTCGATTGTGAGAACATCGACTTGAGAATGGTCCAGGACGGACCAAAACGTTGTCGTCCCTTCACCGTCTAGTGTGTGGTCTGGTCAACATTCTCTAGCCACGTTATTGTGACTCATCGCCTGCATATGACAGTGTTAGTGCGTGGATTACCTAAACACCTCCATACTTAAGTGGCAACCCAGGCAATGCTTAAACTCCCCACTTGAATAATATTTGTGTACCTGGGATCCTTCTTTATTGTGGGTGCTCAGTAGCCTGGCTGGTAAAATTATGGTCTTCCACTTTTGTGGTCCCAGGTTCCAGGCTCCAAATGGTCCAAGTAAATGAAATACAAGACAGTTTGTTTGGGTGTAAATAGAAGCCACCTTGCATAGGCCAATAGGTCTTTTGCAGTTTCATTTGGTATGTTCTTTTTCAACATTTAGAGATTTATAAAATATATTTCTAAGCTTTAAAGTAGGATATCTTTGAACATATTTATTGTAGCAGCAACCTAAAATATAATCTAGTATCAGGTCACCTGCTCGTAGGGCCATGGTTATCTCCCAAGTGATACCCATCCTCTGGGCCGAAGATTACCCTATCTACATGTATTGTCTCTTGCCTTAACTCCCATAATCTCGACAAAAATCTGGAACCCTGAATGAGTTTACTCTGCGTAACTTTTCCATACTACATTAAACCTAATTTCTTTAGGTTTACTTTTTCCCAACTTTCTCCTAATATTATTTATTTGCATTTTCATTTGCTGTCCTAGCTCTAGTTTATTTCTATGGTTGATTCTTTAGTGCAGTAACTATTTCAAAAAGCAGTCTTCAATTACTTTCAGAAACTTATTTAACAAATTTATTGGTTCAGTTTATTTTGCAAATTGTTAAGTCAATTTTCAATACTGTATAGTCATTTCATCTAGATATTTTTAACCATAAGAATCCTATTTATTCTGTGGAGGTTTTGGTGGTCATGATGACTGAACCACAACAAGAGATGGAGAAGCGGCAATGTTTCGGTCCGTCCTGGACCATTATCAAGTCAAGTCGATTTTGGCGGTCTTTATGCAACTCTTATTATTAGGAGTATACCACTGTACAGTTCAATAGTTTTAGCCTATTTTTAGATAGGTGGGGATAGTTCTAACCCCCAGACAAATAATTTTAAGTACTATATTGTTATCAGATTATTGGTCTTTCTGGTATCCAAGTACAGTACAGTATCAGTTTAAGACTATGATTAGAGTCAGTTATTCATAATAACAAAAATGTAAAATTCTCAAACAGTGCAATCTTCATTCAACAAACTATATGGGACCCACCCCAATTAGTTTGTTGGTCTCATATAGCTGGTTCCAGTGAGGGATTAACTCAAGGCCCTCCAGGAGGTCCATGAACGAAAACCAGGAAATCTAAAAATGAAAATGAACCATGGAATTTGATTTTAAATGTGCTCAGTGGCTTTCCCAGGGCACCAACTCTTTCTACTAATGTTGCAGCCATCAACAAAAATGAAAAACCATAATCAAGTCATTAACAAAGTTACCATTCATACCTTAATATTTTCTCTGCTCTATTGACTGATTTCACTGAGCGGAATTTTGATTTCAACTTGTCGTATGAAGTACAACTACCAAGAGAACCTGTCTGTAAAATGATTTAACTACATCTAGCATGTTCCCCATGTCCTAGATTCTAAATTTCATTTTCAGAGAAAGAAGGGTTTAAATTTTTCTGCACGAAAGTTTATGCAACTGGAAATAAAAAATAATCGTGGAGTTTTGCTGTAAATATGCTCAATGGCTTTCACAATGCCTCAATTCTTTCTTCCAATCTAATACTGATCAATGAAAACCATTAAAAAAACGTGATTGGAGCCCTATTAAGAGTTACCACTCATTCCCTCATATTTCCCATGCTCTCTGGGCCGATTTCCCAAAGTATTTTTTTTTTTTTTTTTTTTTTTTTTTTTTTTTTAGATGTATACAAGAGTTGTTACATTCTTGTACAGCTACTAGTACGCGTAGCGTTTCAGGCAGGTCCCTGGAATACGATCCCCACCGCTAAGAATCGTTGTTACAACCAAGTACACATTTTACTGTTGCGTTAAACAGAGGCTACAGTTAAGGATTTGCGCCCAGTAAATCCTCCCTGGTCAGGATACGAACCCATGACAAAGCGCTCGCGGAACGCCAGGCTAGTGTCTTACCACTACACCACGAAGACTTTATTTTATCCTGTGATATGATGGGCAACTTTTCCACTGGTCTAAACTATGTCCCACTATCCTAAGCAAATCTGCACATCCCCCGCTTCAGTGAACTCATTTGCAAACATTGACACCAAATTTATAATTATAACCCTACAAGTAATCGAGAAAGCTTAAAATGACTAAACATTTTTTGCATTGCTGAGAGGCAAGTGCGAGGCCTGGGGAGCCCGGAATGTTTACAGCTGGCAACGTGCGGAGAGTCCAGACTGCCTGTGTTGAATTAGTACTACAAAAACTTGTGCCCAATTATATTTTCTGTACTAAGTACTGTACAGAGTAACAAAATACTCATTAACAAATCAAAACTAATATTTTCTGGAGAGAAACAAAACTCTCAAACAGTACAGTAATTTAAATTAGTAACGAGTAGTAGTCCAGTGATTTACTCAAATTATTGAATTTATAAACTGATACAAAAATGATAAACCCAGTTTACATTCACAGCATTAAAAAACTGACCTGTAGTAGCCATGATGTCCTCAGGAATGGGAAGTAGAGTGTAACAAGAACCCAACTGGGAATACGGGAGAGAAGGACATGGCAAAGAAGCCTCCACATCCCACCCGTCGCCCTCGACCACCACACTCACCGCCTCCAGCAACTGATCATTCAGGGTGTTGGTGCAATCAAACTGGAAAATAAAAATACCACTGGTTATGCTTCATTGCCCTTTCTTAATCTTACATATGAATCCTCCAATATTTATACTATAATATTATGGTATATATATATATACTACAGTATATATTATATACTATAATATATACAGTAGTATATATTATTATAGTACTGTATATACAAAACATTTGTATATTTAACCTTAAAATTAATTTACCTTTAGTTATCTTATCTAAACCCTCCTACAATAAAAAAATGGGAAGGGAACAAAGGAAAGGAGGGAAAGGAAAGACGGGAATGAGAGAAGGGGTAAACCAGAGGAATAAATTGGTAATGGAAAGAGGGGAAATGTCAGGGATGAGAAAGAAGTAGAGGAAGAATTAAGAAAGGGTAAAGAAGGGGAAAAGGGGGGTTAATTAGGGAAAATTTTTTAACCTCTGCACTGGGCACATGTTAAATTTGACATTCCTGTGGTGTGCTGAAAATAATGTCATGAAAATGTATTTCTCGGTTAACATTGTTAATTAGCATCCAGGAAGTGCACAAATAGTCTCTACCTTTTGAAGTTTACCTTTTGTAGTAGCCCAGAGAAGTTGCATTTTTTGTCAGTAGAAACGAGGCGAGGTGCCGCACAGGAGACACTTTGTCGATTATTTTCATTGTTTCTCACTAGTTACTTAGTTTTCATTCTAAGAACTTATAGTGATGTCCCAAAAGTGGTGGTCATTATGTGTATGTAACTTTGAAAATATATGTATGTACAAGTGTGTGTATAAATATACCCAGACACAGTCCAACAGCACAAGGAGGGAGTCACACTCCCATGTTTGCTGTTTGGGGCTAAGATAATAGAGAAGATAAGAAACTTGGATGATTGTCATGCCCTTCAAGAAGACCTGGACAAAATCAGTATATGTAGCACCACGTGGCAAATAGAACTTAATGTGAATAAATGCCATGTCATGTAATGTGGAATAGGAGAACATAGACCCCACACAACCTATAAATTATGCGAGAAATCTTTAAAGAATTATGATAAAGAAGAGATCTGGGGGGGGGGGGGGAGTCCTAGATAGAAAAATGTCACCCGAGGACCACAAAGAGCGTTGTGCGAGGAGCCTATGCCACGCTTTCTAACTTCAGAATTGCTTTTAAATACTTGGATGGCGAAATACTAAAGAAATTGTTAATGACTTTTGTTAGGCCAAAGCTAGAATATGCAGCGGTTGTGTGGTGCTCATATCTTAAGAAGCACATCAACAAACTGGAAAAGGTGCAAAGACACGCTATAAAGTGGCTCCCAGAACTGAAGGGCAAGAGCTACAAGGAGAGGTTAGAGGCATTAAATATGCCAAAACTAGAAGACAGAAAAAAAGGGGTGATATGATCACTACGTACAAAATAGTAACAGTAATTGATAAAATCGATAGGGAACATTTCCCGAGACCTGGAAGTTCAAGAACAAGAGGTCATAGATTTGAAATAAAGATGCCAAAGAAATATAAGAAAATTCACTTTCGCAAACAGAGTGGTAGACAGTTGGAACAAGTTAGGCGAGAAGGTGGGAGGCCAAAACCGTCAGTAGTTTCAAAGCATTACATGACAGAGTGCTGGGTAGACGGGACACCACGAGCGTGGCTCTCATCCTGTAACTACACTTAGGGAATTACACACATACAGTATGTGTAAATAGTGTAATAAAAATGCTAACAGTATGGTGGGAGGAGGAATGTTGGTGAGTGAGGTGTTGAAGGAGGGAGGTGGAGGTTGCTAGCTGCTGTGTCACAGCCAGTCTTGTTGTTTGGACTCGCCATACCAACTTAGTGGTTCGAACACATATGTAGATAGGTAATATAATGTGTGTATATAGTGTAAAAACAGCAAAAACATCATTTGATTGATCGTAGAAAATAACATATGTCACACATATGAGCCCCATAATTTTGAGTATAGCAATGATCCACACACATTGAACTAGATAAATTCCACACTTTTGAATAATATTACAACAAAAAACCAGAGAAGAAATGAATGAGAAACAAAAATATTTGTGACGTTTTATTCGATTAACTGTCGCCCCCACGGGGTGGAGTGACCCTGAGCACTCCATCGCTCAGCGCCCATAATTTGCTCAATTTCTGAGCTCCATCCATCATGGCTATAGTATGTCCCATATAATTCGCCCCAACCCCCCTGTGATCAGAGAAGGCATTTTAACAATACAAGAAAAAATTTTTGCAAAGAATTTATTTTCGGCACACAGCGGGAATGCCATATTATGAAGCCGCACAGCACGGTGGTTAAGGGTGATATTTAACCCTTAAACTGCACAACACGTCATATGACGTGTTGGAGTACTACGCAAGATTTAAACGGCCCGCGGATACAAGGGGTTCACCTCACCTTCATTAGGGCTCTTGTAAACAGAAGTCATTAACACTTTCGCTCACCCCGCACGCCACCCCTCAATAGTGCGATATGGGACCCAGGGTGTCACGGGAGCGCGCGTAAATTCTGAAAAGTGTATACTCTTTTCAACTTTGTCACCTTAATTCTCGTCCTACGAGATTAAATTTGGTATCATTGTGTTCGCAATAGAATTCTCTACAGCACTAAATGCATATAAACTCCAAAAGCCCGGCTAATTACCCGCAGCAAACAGAGAAAGTGCGAACGAGTTACCCAGGAGCGCGCAAACGCGATAAAATGTTTTCACTATTTTCACTCTGGTCACCTCAATTTTTGTCCTAGGTCTTTTATTTTGGTCTCAATGGGTTCGCAATAGAATTCTCTAGAGGAACATTAGCATATAAAATATAAAACCTGGTCACGCTCCAACCGCCGACGAGTTGAAGACGGGCCACGCGTTAGCCGGGAGTGAGCGCTCAGACGCCTTCCAGCTACACTCCCAATTCCCTCCCTTTTCAAGCCTTTCTTTCGCAATTTTCTTCCTGGAAGGGCCTTGTTCATGATCACTATCCATCGTGGAGTAAGGGTAGATAGTTTCTAAAGCCGCAGTAAGAAATATAGCCACGGAAAATAGCCGAAATGTTCACACGTTTGAGATGCGAGGGGAGGCGACATTGGTCAACAGTGGAGCGAAAACAATGGGCCCACGGCGTGTGCCAAGCCACCTGAGGGCCACGAGGTTCAACAAAGAAAATGGGAAGACATTGGCGCACATTTTAAAACTAGTCCCCAAAAAATTGGATAAAAACCTGATTTTTGGCGATTATTTAAAGTGGATGACGCAATGCTGCGTCATCCCCGGTATTACCGCCAGTAAACGGATGACGCAATGCTGCGTCATGCCCGGGCGAAAGTGTTAAAAAAAAAATCATGGGCCACATTCCCGGGTGTGAGGGCCTCAGTATTGAGTGAGCCACCAAGGCTGGCGCATGCAGCATGGCGTACGCAGCATGAGCTCACAGCACTGCTGTTCAGTTTGTGACCACAGCATTGTCTAAAAATGTTAAAATGACTATACATACATGCTTTTATTTAGCAATGATAGTATTACAGAAGACCCCTGACTATGATAAAAATGACCAGGATTCTGATAATAGCAGGATTGTTGTGATAATTAGCGCTGTAGTGGGAGGAGTAATCTTGGTGGGGAGGGAGGTAGTGTTATCTGCCGACTGTGTGACCACCTTTTACCGTCTGGACACTCTATACCAGCTTAGTGGTTCGCTATGGTGAACAAAACATGCAGATACTTATATATAACGTCTGTATATAGTGAATAAAACCAAAAACAGTATGGTGGGAGGAGAATGGTGGCTAGTCAGGTGAGGGAGGAAGTGACAGCCAGTGGAGGGCTGCCACTGCCACTCAGCATACCAACTTAGTGGTTCGTTATGGTGAACACAAATGTAGATACTTTATATATATATAAATATACACATTATATATATAATGTGTATATATAGTGTAATAACAGCAAAAGAAGTGTGGGGAGAAGTCATATTGGTGAGGGAGGTGGCAACATCTGCATGATTTGTCATGTTGGGTAGGGGTGGCCACTATGCTCTTTGGGCACTATACCAGCTTAGATGAACAGTTATGGTGAACAGAACATGTAGATACTTATACATAACGTCTGTATATAGTGAATAAAAGCAAAAACAGTATGGTGGGAGGAGGATGTGGACGAGTGAGGAGTCATTGAGGGAGGGAGTGGCGGTGAGAGGCTGACTGGCAGATGTGGTGGCCACACCTCGTTGCTTTTTAACTCGCAATATGAATATTTTGTTCGTTATGGTGACCAAAACATGCAGATACTTATATACAACCTGTGTATATAGTGTAATAACCTACAAAGTATTTGTTTATTATTTTATGAACACAATAATTGAATCAATAATATGCACCAGAATTTGGAGTACAGCGATGATTCACACATTTTATTACATAAATACTGTATATCACACTACACACTATTGAATAATATTACAGCAAAAAAAAAAAACGGAGAAAAATCAATCAGACATTGAAATAATTAAGTAATTATATCTTTATGGCCACTCCTGCCTGACAGCTGGGGCTGAGCAGACCACCTCGGATTCATGCTGAGTCAGCACCTCTGTCAGACTTCCCCACCCTATAGCAGCCAAAATATGCCACTTACTATGTTTTTATTATTTTTCCCGTGATCAGGGAACACAAATTAACAGGTTAGGAAGAATTTTTTTTTTTTTTGTTATGCACCTGTGCCTTGTGCCTGTGCCACAAAGGCCAATTAGCCCTTAGCAACACAAAGGTTAATGGAGTGAAACAAATGATGGAAGTGCTTAGGAAAGCCAGGAAATGGCAGTGTGATGAGGCTGACAAATTTGGGTCAATAAGGCAAGACCTCTGAAACGAAGACACAGAAAAGCTGAGAAAGAACCTCGAAGCAAAACATCCAAATCTAAATGGGAATAGAAATGAAGACTTTTTTCTACAAAGTGTTAGTGACTGGAAAGCTGGTGAAATGGTACATAAAAACAAAGCAACAAAATTATTAGAGTA